TCTTTTAAAAAACATTTTTTTGTTTATGATGTGGCTACTCTTCTTCATAGTTTTTCAGTAATTTTGCTGCAATATTATATGCATTTACTAGTGTAACATTTCATTTAGAGAGAATTTTTTTTGAAAACTCAAATTTTCATACCACCAAAGATTTTGTTAAAACCACCAATTTTAATTGTAGTTTTATTTTTTTATATTTTGTCCTTTAACAGTTAGTTATAATATATATAAATCTTTGTTTATAAATTAATTTTAATTTATTAAATAATAAATATTAACTATTTTATTAATTATTAGTTATTTTAACAATTAAATAAAAATAAAAATATAATTTTAGTAGCTTAATAAAATAAATGATCAAATTAATAAAAAAAATTAAAGTCCCAAATTTTAAAAGATTTCATTTCATTTAATTAAAATTTAATTTAAAATTTAAAAATCAATCTTATTAAATGTTAATATTTACATTTGAAAACCAAAAACTCAAATCAAAATTTAGAAATTCATCATATTAGATATTAATATATGAATTTAAAAATTGATTATATTAATTAATTTCTAAACACAGGTTTTAACATTTAATAAGATAAATTTTTAGATTTTGAATTAAATTAAAATGAAATAAAATAACATTATTTAAGGTCAAAACTCAAATTCTTTTTAAATCAATATTAATATACTTTTTTTCTTATTTTAATTAATATTCTTATATATTTTTAAGATAAAAAAAGAGCTAAAGCACCTTTAAAAATCAAAATGTTTATGTATATATTTTTATATATTTATTAAAATATTTATTTATATATTTTTAAGAGATATTTTTATATATTTATTAAAACACCTTTAAAAATCAAAATATTTATTTATAAAATTATCACCAAATCAAACTTATTTTTAGAGAAATAATAGAAAAGATAAAGAAGAAAAGTGAGAGAATGGAAGATGGTTTTCCCTCCCTCTGCTACTGATGACAGAGGCCTGAACTTTTTGGTTTTTACTCTACGTGTCTCTATGATGAGGGGTGAAATTCAATTTTAACTCCATTAATCGTAAATCATTTTCCTTTTTTGCCCTCATATTTTGCTCCTGTTTCACTCCCTTGTGTTTGGTTTTTTGATCTTTTAATTAAAATAATGCTGTTTTGATTGTTGTCTCCGAACAAAATATTTTCTTTTCCATGTTTGGTGCTGTTGTTGAGGATAAATCATCAGAATTCATATTCATCGTAAAGGAAAAGGGAGAAGAGTTGGTCAGCACGAGGAATTCAATACACTGGAAAGAAAATCTTTTGATGACGTTCGAGAATCAATACACAGAAAAGATTGTACCTGCTGAAAGGAAGGAACGTAGAAAGAAATAGAAACATGGAGACCCGTGACCTCTTACGTACGTGCTGCAATAGCTCTTTCTGAGGAGCTCTGGGATGCATGTGCTGCTTTTGGTTTAAAATTAAAAAACTATCTGTTCTTGATGAATTCGATGCGAAGGGGTTTTTGTCTTCTACCCGTTGTGCTCTTCATTCGTTTCCACTTACCGATTTGGTTTAATCTGCTTTTATGTAGTCATTATAATATTAGGTTGTGGCGTCCACCAATCAAGTGGCAGACCAAAATATGCCAGTTTATGACCTTCCACCAAATATTCTTTGTTATTATGCGATTAACAGTGCACTGGAGGTACCATTAGAGTCCTTTTTTTCTTTTTGTTAAATCAGTTATTTGGGCAAGTAACTTGTTATAAATTGGAATTTTCTGAGCAGAGGTTAAATGATGTTTTGTCGTAAATTTTTATTATTAATTTGGATAAAAAATAAAATTAATTTAAATTTTATTAATTATTTAATTAAATTATTTTACCTTACCTCACATTAGTGTTAAAACTTAAAAATAGATTTTTTAATAATTTTATATATAAATTAATACTGAAATAATATAATAAATGTACCCCGATACAAGTTAGAAATACCTTACAAATTTTATGTGCTACTCTTGTAATGGTGTTGGCATGCTTTATGTGGGCATAATTTGTTTTAGAGCCAATTTGATTAGTTAAAGGGTCATTTCATTAAAAAAATTTTATTGTAGAAATTTTTTTTAAAAAAA